GGTTTTCCAGTCCTCACGCTCAATATCTGCCGTTAATTTGCTTGCTATTTCAAGAACTTGAAGACTGTCAGCAAAATCCATGATGCATTACAAAACTTATAATTGGAAAGGAAATAAAAAAAAAAAAAAAAAAAAAACCTCTGACACTTTTCTGACAGGATAAACTGAGGGTCTGAAAACACTGATCAGAACAAGGCAGAGGTACTAACTTAGAGCTACTAAAATATGACTGCAAATGAAGCAGAGAAAAGAAACAGAGTTAAGAAAAATAATTTCAAACTGATGTAAAGCCATTTGATGAAACCCCCAAATTTTGCACTGGGTCTAAAAAGAAAAGGAAAAAGACTGCACAAAACGTTGTTTTTAAAAGGAGATGGCTGAAGCTGTCTCGACTTTCTTAAGGTTGCATTATCTATGCCAATTAAAATTTTGCTTCTGAAAAAAAGAGTTAAGGCACTTCCTCTAGAGTTACTAAAAAAAGCAAATGAAAGCCTTGGCTTGGCAGAGGTGAGTGATAGTGAGCCGTTTGTTCTTGACCTCTGGATCACCCTACAGATCAAATTCTTGGACACAGGAAAAACCCACTAGTATTCATTAAAAAGCAACTGGGAGGCCAGCTTTGTGCTTCTGTTCTTGAGACCTGAACAAGCTACAACTTGACAAACGTGCAGGATATTGCTGAACAATGCTGCCTGTTCCTGTCAGGAGGGAAGAGCTTTATTCCCAGCCTCATTCAGGAGGAATTGATTTTCATCACAATGATGCAAATCACAGATTTCAGGCGTTATTTGAATAATCGATTGTCATCTTTTTACCTTTGTGGCGCTTTTCGGTTATTCCCATAAAGTTGATTCCGTTAACCATTCACATGCATTGATTTATGCTGAATTAGCTTTTACACTACGCAGTTTTCCCTCGAAAAGATACATCTATCTATAGTTATATAAACAAATAGATAGCCTGAAAGTCCCAGATATTTGGCTTTGCTTTTCTTTCTGCAAAGGTTTGCTTTATTAGAGAGATTATTTTATGCTTACAGCTTCTGACATTTTTTGTGACGTTTTTACGCAGAACAGAATTTAAAATCCATAAATAAGCCTATTGCCTCATTGTTCATAAAATTAACTGCTATAAATTTCTCTGCACACAAAATAAACTTCATCAGAATACTTTTTCTTTTCAACTATTATTAACTAAAAAAAAAAAAAAAAAGCTACCTGTAGAGCTGATCAGCAGAACAAAATAAACCCGCAAAAAATATTCTCCCTGAACAATTCTTTCTGTCAAAATGTGGTTTAAACAAATTCTGGCTCCAGTTAACTGCAGTTCTCTGGTGGTTTGAATGCTTTTAAAGCTTCATTAGAAAACAGACATTGTGAGAATATTTGTATCCAAATGTCTGCAGCATACTATAGTGAATTCAGTCCTTAGCATGGATGAACAATTTCAAATACAATCTAAGAAAACCAGACATATTTTAAAATAACATTTGAATTTAAGTAAAACCTATTCACTTATGCATATTCAGCACCCGAAGCTGCAGTAAAAACAGACTGTCTCTCCTTACTCCTTCACAGATACATCAGTGTGACTTGTGCTCACATTTACTTCACAAAGGCAGTTTTAAAGACTGAAATTTTCATATACCCATCACTGTTTGTAGTTTTTGTCCTGTTTAATAAATAGCCTCGATCTCAAATTTCCCAAGGAGAAAATATTTGCATTGGAATCTTTAAAAAGAGTTTTGACTGCATAAACCATCAATTATTTCCCCACCGAGCGAGGCAGGTTCACAGCACAGAGTCAGAAGGGAAGAGAAAGGAGGGGAATGTTTTTGTGGATTGTTATCTATAGACCAAATGGAAAATCTCCAGCCATTTTGCTCCTTCAAGGTACATCAAAGGACCTCCTATTTAAGGTGTGAAAATGTCAGTTACATTCTTCACCTCTGGAAATGAACAGAGCTCTGAATGCGATTTACGTCCCACCCTTGCACTTTTCTCTTTTAGGGGCTGATACTCTTCTTTTCAACTTCCCTCCAGCTAATGCCATTTAATACTCTCAGAACCAACGGGGCTAAATTCAAATTTTCTGCTCCTTAGAGGCTGTTGTTATGCACCACTGCACATTCCAATTGCAAATACACATGAATGCTCCCGTGTATTGTAAGTTATTTTTTTACACACAAATTCTGCTAAATTGTAAGTTAGGAAGGCACTACTTGAATTCTCTCAGGTCTTTAGAAAGCTTTCAGATGTACCACGAGTAATAACATGTAATGAATATGGACTGATATTTCCTTTCTGTAGTTACACCGAGTTGGCAATTTACATTTTCTAGATAGATTACTTATAGCCAGCCTTCCCAGTACTCTGGCAATTACTTCTTAGAAACCCCTGACAGGCTGAAACCTCCAGAATCACATCTGTTATTCTTGGTTTGATCCCTCTTCTTTAAATTAAAACCAGTAGCTTTATCAGCAAATGAGAATTTTTTTTTCCCCCTCTGGAAATACTTACAAAACTGCACATAAATTGAACATGCCAACTTATCTCATTTTAGGGTTGGCGCATCTTCTGGGTTAATGACCAGTGTTCCATTTCTGTGACAGAACTAATTGAGGTAAGGAGCCCATAAATACACACAAAACCCCACAAATTCTCTTCCTTTGGGGTAGTCTGAAGATTTATAGAAGTAGAGCGGGATGTGATTGGAGGGGAAAGAGAAAAAAAAAACTGAGAAGTGCTAACAGGCTTGTCTGACCATTCTGTCTCAGTTTCCAGGCACAGAACAGAATTAGAGCAGGTTTTTCTAATACCTGATGTGACTTTTCCTTCCTCTCAAACACCAGCTAACATGCAAAAATCTAGCTGAATTTTCACACTTTCTAGGAAAAAAAAAAGGAAATAAAAAAATGAGAGAGAATGCATAGACAACACTCCATCTTTATGCTCTGAACACAAAGTGGCTGATTGATCCAAAAAGCTCTGTTGAAAACTGTAGCCTCAACTCCACATCAACAGTTGCTCAAAACATGCTTTGACAACATTTTTTTCACAGCTGAACACAAATGAAACATCCTCCAAGAGAGAAATCCGCACTTGGTTGGAGCTCAGTGTGCATTTCTAGCAATCCAGCTTCATTTGTCACGCATCACTAATCGGAAAAATCCAGTCATCAATGGATTATAGGAAAGAATAATTCAGGTTTGTCCTCCATGACTAGGTCAGAATACATGTGCCATTCACTCTTTGCTGTTGAAACAACTCAGTACCTCGATGTGATGTCCCTTAACATTGCAGAACAAACGTTCTAAATCCATGTGCACACCTGCAAATTGAAAGAACTTCTGAATGCAGCCGGAGACAAAAGGGTAACAGATTTCCATGGTAGGTTTGGGAAGCCAAAGAGGAAGAAAAAAAGAGCACTACATATCGCCAGTACAAATAAATGTAAATGTGAGGGCACATCACACAGGTCTCCGTTTCAGAATACCAAACTCTCTCTTCCCCAGACTCGGATTCAACATCCTCCAGATCGCTCCAGCAGTGCTGTAAATAAGCCTGAGTTCAGGTAAATCTGACCCAAATAAATTTTAAAAGATGCCTACACCTCCTAATCACTGGATGGCTGCAGAAGCCCTCTGAGTCTTGAGACATACATACAAAAGGAGCTGAACACTCTCTTAATCTTAGCAGCTAACCCTCCTCAGCTCCTTACCTTGCAGCAAACCTCAAATCCATCTCACTCTACCCAAGGCCTTATGTGCCCTGCCTTCTGTGCAGATATTACCCAAAAAAAAAAAATTACTTCAAAATGTCTTGAGGAGATGATTCCTAACCTGCATTAAGATCATCTTTCCCAATTTGCTGATAATGCAGGATTTAGAGCATTACTTTTTTTTTTTTTTTTTTTTTTAGCTAACCCATGTCAGGCTGATTTAAACTACTAGCTAAAGGCTATGACTTAAATTAAAAAATTAGTAGCTCAAGTCAAGAATGTGAGATGATGCAGAGCTAGATCAGTTTTCTAGCCAGCACTAATGCACACAGTATGACCAGAGAAAAACACTGTCAGAAGCATCAACGTGTGTGGTGTTACATGAATCTGTGGGCCAAGACAACAAAGATGAAATGAAGGGGAAAATTTCTAATGTGTGTATATAGGTTTGCCCCACTTCTTGGTTCAACTCCTGTCATTCCTCCTTCCTGCCTGGCTTTCACCTTTAAAGCAAGGCTGACATCAAAAATAAGTTATAAGCTTATAATAAACCCTTCTTATAGGTGTGCATAAATTAGCATCTCAGTACTTCAGCTGACAATTGAGAATGCCAAGCAGCAGAATGATTATCACCATCACTCAAGTTCAGGTTTCTGGTAAAGCCTGAAAGGACTGTGGCTGTTGTTAGCATGAGAATTTTAAAGCAAGTGCTACCCAAGACTCCACAGAAAGATGTCAGGCATCACAGTTAAATGGCACGTAGAAAAAAACAAGGAAGAATCTCCTTAGTACAAAACGGGACAGCGATTTTTCCTGCACTGACGTGCTTGACACACGGATGGAATGACACCAAAACTGGCTTGAAATTTTGTTATCACAACTTCACAAGCAAAAGAAAACAATGCCTGGAACTGATCAAAAATAGGGCTTAAATCACCTGCTGCCTTGTGCCTTGTGCTGTGTGGGTGTTAATCTATTAGCACAGCAGACATAAATACCCCAACAGCACACAATGTCATGGAGCTTCCCTAAGATGCCACTGCAGTTAATCCACAAGCACAGAGTGGGTATGGAGTCCCCTTCAGCAGGTAGAAACAGTCACAGGTCCTTTTGTCTTATTTCACACACATAGCTAAATAGAAATTATTTATACACACACACAAAATGAAAAAAAAAAGGGGGGGGGGGTAACTATTTCAGCTTCATGCATGTTCAACAGGAACGAGTTCCTGCTGAGGTTCAAGTGATAAACAGCAAAGAAAGTTGAAATTGAGACTTACCACGGAGCACCGTATATTCGGAATCCTTTAACTGTTACCTCTGAATCTTGTAAGTAAATACTATTTGTCAGGAGTGACTGAACATTGTCAAAGTCCTCTGGTTTCAATTTGGACACAGAGGGAAAGCGGTAGTAATCTTGTTTAACAAGGTCTGCCATGAATTCCTTATCAAATGTCAGTTCATGATTCCCAGCAATCACTATTTTATATTCATAGGGTAGGTTTCCTGAAATAACAAAAAAAAAAAAAAGAGGACTTAATTAGCACATTTTTCCTCCCACACCAGCAATGCCGGCACAATAAGTAGACAGCTAGCAGTGACAGAACCAAACCCCCCAGATCTCCACGGTGAGCACAAGTTATTAAAGCTGCTTCTCCTCCACTGAACGGATCTGTGTTCAGCTGTAAAGCAACGTCACCCAGAGCGATGTCACCATACAAAAGGGCCTGCGCCGCAGAGTCAAACAAAACAAGCCCGTAGGCAACAAACCAGCTCCAAAGGTGGCACAAACCACCCCTGCTGAATTAAGATTCGCCTCAAATCTGACCTGGGACTGGGTCAGAGCCAGTAGCCCCCAGTCTCTGTCCCCAGGAGTGCCCTGCAGTGAGACACTCGGGTGTCCCAGTGGGTAGGCGATGGCAGGATGCCTCGCAGGTATGTCCTGAAGGTACTGAATTAGACTGCTGGGGCTGTTGTCTTTTTTTTTTTTTTTTAGATTATGCTGTTATTTGGATTAATTTGTGTTCCAGTGGCATTTATTCCACACCTAGTCTGTTCTCCAAAGCCTCAATTCACTTGCAATGTACTGTCATATTATTATTATTATTATTATGTTTAAGAAGTATCTCATTTCTGTAAGAAGTGCATAAGTAGAAGAAACCATAAAACTCAGCCAAATACAACACAGCAGGAAAAAGGAAATGTGGTTAATTCATTCACCATGAGAGTCAGAGGTAAAGAATGCAGGTTTGCTCACCTCAGTGCAGGGCAAACGATACCATTGTTCAGAAGGAGGTTCATGCCCACACAGCCAGATTGTTGAAGTTCAGAAACAGATTTCCAAGCATTTTTGGTATCAGCAGTCGGTGCCAGGTTTTCCAAATAAACATACTGGGTGCTGAGCTCCCTTTAAAAATACAGTCCCATACTGTGATATCTTCACAGAAGTTAGGTTCTTTTACAAAATCTGTCCCATTATGACTTGCCAAAAATCACACCTAAGTTTGCATCAAAGCTAACTTCTGTTGCCTTCACTACAAGCTTGATTTCCCAGTCTCATACCAAAGCACTGATTTTGGTGTTTACTCCTAATAATCATTTAGAAAGATTGGGTTTGTTGTGCTGATTTTTTGGGGGAGGGGTTGATCTTTTTTTTTTTCATAAAGGCAGCAAAATGTCTGTGGAAAATCTGTGGGTCCATCTTCCAGCTTGGGGACTCACAACATCTGTCTCGAGGGAGACAAAATCAGATGTCATACATTTCTTGTGAATGCAGTTTTCCCAAACAGAAGTGGCTTTGCTAGTTTAAAACTTGCCTTTCAACTTTTAAAACTGTTTGTTGTTGGTTTTTTTCGTTTTTTTTTAAGTAAGTTTCAAAGTAAAGCTGTAAGTTTATACAACAAGATTAACCTTCCCATAAATAAGACTCACAGGGAACCAGCCAAAAACCCTCTGCTTTTCAATATTTACAGCACAGAAACAGGAATTATGCCATTTTAGCAAAATCACTTAATTCTGGATAGAAAACCAAAAAAGCTACAGATCCCCTGAAAAAAACCAAGCAGACTTTTTCACAGACACCTCACGTCTGAATAAAAATACAGGTTGTACAGATTCTTAACTCTCTGCAGTGCTGCATTAGAATGAAATCTGGGGAGATGCAATAAATGTTCCTCTACAGGTTTTGCCTTACTCCTTTCCCTCTCCCCTCCCCTTCCCCATCTGTGCTCCATGCAGCTCTGCAATTCATTTTTATTTAAAAACTCGACGTGGCAGGTACCTACAATTCCTGCTCTCTGTGACTCCTGGGCACAAGATAAAATTGCTATTTTCTCCTCTCCCAGGAAACATAAAAGATACTGCCAGCATGAAATTTGATACACTTGTCACATAACTATCAATCCCCCCAAACAAACTAGATGTGATAATATTATCGAAGAAGTAGGATGGAGCAGTTAAATTCAAGTTTCTACCAAGTTATCAACATTTGCCTGTTTTAGCAGAGAAAACTTTTCATCTTGTTGGATACACGTCCAAGTTTTACACTTGCTCTCATTTATTTTGATAGACTTGAAAACCAGCACATTTTACTGATATTATGTCCAATTAAGCCTGGAACATTTTTTGCTTGAGGTCAATGTTTTTTTATCTCGACATTTTAAAAATAAGGGCTTACTTTGAAGACACACAGGGCGCACCAAGACAAACTAATGGTGGCATCAGTAATTATTAAAACGTGTAACACTGTAGATGTTATTTAAGCACCTGAAATCAGTAGGGGAAAACCAAACAGTATTTCTTGCAATTGGTGTGAAGACAGTTGTTGATATTTTTAAGACTGAGGAGATGCTCTGCTTGGTCAGTTCTTGAGAGAAGGCACTGGGAGAGAACAGCCTCTCCCCAGCGCTGCTGGGGAGCTCAGCAACAAAAAAACGAACCCAGACCAAGAAATGAGGCAAAACAGGCCCTGAAGGAGAACTCCCACAGGGACCAAAGTTTGTCAACACCCACCCATGAGCTGCAGCTCAGTGGTGCTGCACACCAGAGCCCGGGAGCTGGAGAGGAGCCAGTGCTGTTTTCATGCCTACTGCAGTATTTGCCACAGGAAAGGCACCAAGATCTGGCCTCGCTCCCATCCTGGTTCCCCCACCTCATCACCCAGTCGCGTTTTGCTCTCGTTTTCTGGTGCTGGATCAGGAGCTCTCAATGAGCAACACCACTCATCAAAAGGCAAACACACCAAAAGCCAGGCCTAGACGAAGGAAGGGGCAGCAGCAAGAGGAAATCTCATCCATTTCTTCCCTCTACCCCGAGGAAAGACGATATAGCACTAATCACAGTAATAAAGATTAGCTAATTTATTCATCACATTCAAGTTTTTCCTTCTTGAAAGGTGTTGTGGCAGTGCACAACATCCAATCTCTCTAATGCTATTTATGAAATATTTTGGTGTGTTTTCTTTTGGCAGACCTGCCCTTCGTCTACTATCATATTCAAAAATCTCCTACTCCATGGTAATTTAATTTCATCTTGACCAGATTAATCTCTGAGTATCTATATCAGTGTTGCCTGTACAGAATAACACACAGGTTGAAAGGCATTTCCTCATTTCCAATAACTAAATCTTTGTTAGCTTTGTTACATTTGGGTTTTATTAGTCTAATTCCCTAACTATCAAATCTTCCATCATGCATCAGTAGTATAATTCGTTCTAATTTTTACTGTGAATCTGGAAAAGATATAGAAGATTCCTTTTCCAAACTGTAAAAAGTTTGATTTGTTTGGTGGGACGAGCACTTCAGAAACCCCAATTATCAACTCCCAGTGTAATAACTAAGTTTCTTTAAAATATTTAAATGCTTAACAGGTGAGATCAAAAGGCTAAAATTACAGCTACTAAAAATAATCAGGGCACTAAATATGTGGACTAGAGTCACCTATACTGGAGTATTTGAACCCCAGTATATTTACGTGCATATACACACATACACACCCTGTGTGTGTATCTTAAAAATTCATCTATCATTTTGGGTAAGATGAGCCATCTTACCCAACATCTGCCCTCAACAGCACAAGCAAGGACATAGTGCAATCATTGTTCAAGAAAATACTGCAATTAGACAAGTTGTTCTCTTCTGGAAGCCAAAAAGGTCAGTGTTGCTCCTGCTCAAATAAAGGCAAAGTTAGTTAACTGTGAACTGTAAAAAAAGGAATTGTTTACAGTAAATATATTAATCTGGGAGCCTCAGAAATTTTCTGTGACTTCTTGTCTAACAAGTCAACCCTCAAGCTAGAGTCCCAAGTACCTTTGCCCCCAAGTGTTCACCTTTACTCCTGTGCCATCACACCTCCTTGTCAACACAAGGATTTGGTGGCCGCAGAACAGAGTGGATCAGAAAGCTGATCCAGATGAAAAACTGATGTAGCAAAAAAGGAAAGGGTGCCTGTGAATGCTGGTAAGGCAGGGGTTCTATGGCTGGCTGCAACCACTTACACTACTCAAAGTGTCAGCTGAACAACAGACTGACTTTAAATATATCTATTACATGGGACAAGGGGGGAAGCTTGGGGGGCTGTGGGGTTTTTTTTAACCTATATAAGTAGGTGATTCAGTGGGGGTTTTTTTAAGTTAACCTTAAGTACTTGGATCCTAGGAGCCCTTAATCTGTTGAACAACCATTCCCATTTTAATGGCATGCTTCATATGAGTACAATTTAGTCACACAACCCAAGTTCTGTAGAGCTGCCAGACATGAAAAGGAGCCTGACTGGCAGCGAACATTAACTGCTGAGTCCCCATAAAAATAGAAAATCACATTATTTTTCAACTACTGTTACCTGCAAACCCCAGAGGGAAGTAGGGGAATATGAAATCATGTGATCCTAGCTGTCTATATAGTGGTAGAAACCTGTATTTACACACAGATGATATGCAAGTGCTTTTGATGTGAAGCTCTGAATATGCATACGCATGCATTAACTATTCAAACCACACAACACTCCCAGGAAACACGAAGCTCTCCTCCTGCCCATTTCACAGCCTCGTAAACCCTTTGACCATACACTGGGAAACAGGCTGAGAAACCTTGAAGCACCAATCTTAGTCCCTTCAGAAAGAGGGAAATCTGTACAAAAGATGTGCGTGCGAGCGAACCGTCTCGAATTTGCGGTGGTGTGTCATACGTGCTTCCAAAGTGCACAACTGGTCGTGGAGCATTCACCCTACAGCCAACAACATACGTGCCCAGGGACAAACACTCGAAGGAGAAGATTTGGCATTGTTCCCATGGAATTGCAGTCCCCACAGGTTGGCAGCAGCTCTCCAGCTTAGCTGCCCCACCGATGGGCACAGCCCCGACACTGGGCAGCAGCTCTGTAACTCTTCATACACAGAGATCTCATGGAAAGCCCACAGCATCTCAAGGGCCATGGTTACTCTCTCTTCCCAGCATTTACAGCACGATCACAACACACAGAAGTTCCTTTTTAAAAAGAGAACAGAGCAT